CTTTAAGGTTTTCCGAATGTGCCGAGTGCCGTTTGGAATGACAACAAGTCCGTTTATTTTGTCCGCCACTATCAAACATCATATTAAGGGTTATGAAAAGAAATATAGCAAAGCTGTTGACATGTTAAATAAGTCCTTATATGTTGATGACCTTATCCATGGAGCAGACTCCGTTGAAGAAGTTTTCTCATTATCAACTGATGCAGTTAAAATTCTTCAAGACGCTGGTATGAACTTAAGAAAATTTGAATCAAATTCCGTATCTTTAAAAAATCATTGGCAAGATATTGGTTTAATTAATAAGGAAGATAATTTGGATAAGAAAACGTTAAAGGTGCTGGGAATAATTTGGGATTTGGATGAGGACACATTGAAATTAGATGTACAAGAACTTTTACAACCAGTTGACTGGAAACACGTTACAAAGCGAAAGGTATTACAGATTGTGGCAAAAATTTATGACCCAGTTGGATTCATTGCACCCTTTGTTATCAGAATAAAATTCTTATTACAAGAGTTATGGGAATTGGGTATTGATTGGGACACAATTTTGCCCAGTTATTTGAGTGAAAAATTTAAAACTTGGTACTTTGAAATTGAAGTTATTCTCAACTTGTGTATTCCTAGAAAATACATATTAAATGATGAATGTGTAAATTTCGATAAAATAGAGCTTTTTGTCTTTTGTGACGCCAGCCTCAAGGGATATGGAGCTGTTGCATATTTTCGTGATCCTGATTCTTGCTGTACGTCTTTTGTTCTTTCAAAGAGCCGTGTATCCCCACTTAAAAAATTAACCTTGCCTCGTTTAGAACTTATGGGAGCCATTATTGCCGCAAGAATAGTTAAATATTTAAGGAAATTATTTAATATCCAAGAAGATAATGTATTTTGTTTTAGTGACTCTAAAATTGTTCTTCACTGGATCAGGGGTACCGCTGATAAATGGAAACCCTTTGTTGCTAATCGTGTACGTGAAATACAAGATGTTGTATCACCTTCGCAATGGAAATACTGTAAGGGAAATGACAATCCGGCTGACATAGTTTCACGTGGATTAAGAGCTTCTGATCTAGTGGAAAATAAACTTTGGTTCAATGGACCAGTGTGGTTAAAAGAGAAAAATGTACCTTCATCATCTTTTGATCCTTTGATCGAGCCTATGGTGGAAGAGGTACAGGTAGAGAACAGCGTCAAACTACTGTATGTTCTGTTATTAGCCAAGAGGCTGAATTTGAATTGACATCCAGGTTTTCATCCTGGAAAAAATTGAAACGCGTAACTGCATGGTGTTTAAGATTCTGCCACAATATTAAACCTACATCTTTAAAACTCAAGGGTTTTTTAACAGTTCAAGAATTGGATAAGGCAAGCAATTTGATTTTTAAAATCATGCAAAATTCCGAATTTAGAGAAGAAATTAGACTTTTGAAAGCAGGGAAGAAATTGAATCTCAGCAGTAAAATCCTGAAATTAAATCCTTTTCTTGATAGAGAAGAAATCCTTAGAGTCGGTGGTAGACTCTGTAACTCGAATCTTTCAGAAAACACAAAGTATCCAATCATTCTTCCCAAAAGTCACCAAGTTACTGAATTGATAGTCAAACACTTTCACGAAGTGAACCTTCACGGAGGAGCCACATTAACATTATCTGCTCTGCGACAGAAATATTGGATCGTTAATGGCCGAGAAATTGTAAGAAAAATAATTTGGAAATGTATAAAATGTTTTAAAAATCGAACAAGCACATCCAGTCAGATAATGGGCGACCTACCTGCTTCTTCTCGCGTATTGCCGGATAGAACATTCTCGAATACAGGACTAGATTTTGCAGGCCCCTTTTTAATTAAAGCTAGGAAAGGAAGAGGAGGAACGAGATATAAATGTTACGTTTGCCTTTACATATGCTTCACCACAAAGGCCATTCACCTAGAAGTGGTCAGTGATCTAACAACTGAAGCATTCCTAGCATCTCTGAAAAGATTTGTGTCACGCAGAGGAAAACCCAAGAAAATCTTTTCCGATAGAGGAACCAACTTTGTTGGGGCTGATCGAGAATTAAGAAGATACATAGCTACACTTTCCTCTGACGAAGCATTTCAAAACTACCTGAGCGGTGAAAATATTCAATGGATCTTCAATCCTCCTGCTGCCCCTCACTTTGGAGGCCTTTGGGAGGCTGGAGTGAAACAAATGAAGATTCACTTAAAGCGGACTATTGGGACCCAGGTTCTGACATACGAAGAATTTCACACCTTAATTACACACAAATCGAGGCGTGTTTGAATTCCAGGCCAATAGTTTCCATCTCATCTGACCCTGAAGATTTTAATCCTTTAACACCTGGACATTTCCTAATTGGGACTACATTAACAGCAATTCCTGAACCTGATCTTACAAATAATAAGCTAACCCCTGCTGAAAGATGGAAATTGACACAGCAAATTTTCCAGAGCTTTTGGAAACGTTGGTCTAGAGATTATCTTTCACAATTACAAGGGCGTACCAAATGGTTGAGGGATAAACCAAATTTAGCCCTCAATGACTTAGTCTTGATAAAGGACGAAAATTTGCCTCCATTAAAGTGGCGACTTGGACGAGTAATTGAACTATATCCTGGTGCTGATGGAAAAGTTCGTGTTGTGAAACTAAAAACTTTATTGGGCGAAATGAAGCGTCCTATACATAAACTTTCCCGCTTACCATTGAGTGAATAAGACTCTAAAAAAAAAAAAAAAAAAAAAAAAAAAAAAACATTAATTGTATATTCATAATTTGTGTCTTTATTATTATTATTAATTCAATTATGTTTCAGATTCAGAGAATGGACCACAATTGTGGATTATGGTAATTTAGCAGTTTCATTATTTTGTTTTCCTTCTAGAGATTGTAAGTATGTTTTATTTGTAAAATTTTGTGCTAAATTTAATGTTGTTATTCAATTTAAATTTGTCATTATGCATTTTTATTTTATATGATATACTGTTGAACTTTTGGAAAACTTGTTTGAATCTAAAATTGAAGATCTTTATAATAATGTTGTAATGAACCAATGTTCATCGGGGCGGAGTATGTTCCGTCTTTTTGGTAGATAGGTGGCGCTCTTGATGCGCGCCGATGAAAAATATTTCACTTGACGCTTGAACATGAACAATGACGCATGTCATATTTATTTGATGCTTGATTATGTTTCATGGCCGCTATAGGCGGAAGTAATATAAGTAATATAAGTTTATCGTTAATAAATGTTATTTCTATGTTCTAAGAAATCTTGAAGTTTTGCTTTGAAATTCTAATGCTCTCCCAACCTTGACTCCTGAAACGAAACGATCTTTGAATTTATGACTCATGAAGAGAGACACAAACACTATTATTGAAACAACGCTATATATAAATCTAATACATATTCTAAGTCGCGCTTTCAAGACATGAAAAACCCAAGTTGAATTTTATCAATTGGCCTGCTTGAATGGGAAATACAGAACTATACCCCTTTTTTTTTGTGCAGTGTACATTCAATACAAGGGATGTATTAAAAATTTCCTTTAAAACAAATAAATGTCAGAAAACTAACATTGATATAGACAGTAATATAGAAGTGGATTTCTTGTATTTATGATTTGTTATGGGATTTTTAAACCTACAGTATTAACAATTTGCACTTAAATGCACTTGCAAAAAATTCATGCGATATAAATGTGGTTTACTAGTTTAAAATTACAGATGCATGCTATTTCTTTTAAATAGTTTGCATTTTCCAATGTAGATTACTACAGCTAATGATTCCGGAGCAGTAGGAGGCACTTAGAAACACAAACACAGTAGGTCTGAAAAATATGATCATATGAACTCCTTTAAGCAAATGCTTAAATACTGACTTTCTAAATTTTGTGATGAATTTTAATTAACATTTCAATGTACAGGACATAACACCTCAAAAACTCCTTTGTGAATTCAATTATTACTATCAAGAAAATTCTTGCTACAGGGATGAATTAATGAAATGACCCAGGACTTGCAAGACGATATTTTTTAAAAACAATCTCGTTTAGTTTAATGTGTGAATCTTTTATCAGAAAATGAAGCTTAACCCTTAGTACATGTCCAATTCATAAAAGAAGAAAACTAACTGGTCGTAACACTCTGCAAACTCATTTGTGTCATACAGACATATCTGAATCTCTAAAGCATACTTATGCTATAAAAATAGTAATATATTTTATTGGACATATAATTAATATGGAAACTTATACCTGCATTTATTTCTTGCAGTTTCTGAAGCTACATATCTTACTAGGCAACAGAGAGGAGGGGCGAATATTCTGCTTAATAAGATTCTAGGTAATACAAAGCTGTACCGAATTATCTCGAACACTTTTATCATTAATAATATAGTGTATTTCATGATCATTTTTTACATATTCTACCACAAGATAGACTAAAACAGCCAGTTGCATACACGAAATAGGGTTAATTTCAAATAAACAATTATTTATATAAAGATTTTCCATCACTATCTCCATAATCATAAAATGTTTACTACAACCTACAAATACTATAATGTGAAATGACTTCTGGTACTTATTAGTAACATTAGTTCATTGTCTGGTTACCACAAGTTAGCAAAATGTTTCCAATTAGTAGGACAAATAAAATTTCTGAAAGCACTATTCATGTAACACTTTTACAGTTCATTCAAATTCCTATTTCTTAAGAACACAGGCACAACTACAGGACATAAGCCAATTCATGTGTGGCTTAACATACAGCTAATTCCAATGCAATGTAAACTTGTAAGAGTTTAAATAAATTTCTGCCAGATAAGGTAATTTCAGTTAAGGATAATATATTTTTAAATCAGATTTTAAGTTTTACTCTGCAGGTTTGGAGAAAATGAGCTTAATTATTACCAAAGTCCTCTTATAGAAACTTACATGTATATAATTATTTTTTTGTTTAAAAAGTCTTCAGAATAACAGAATAATAAAAAGTATAGTTACCTGGATCTGTTATGCTTAAAGCACAAACCCTGAAGTATTTACCACAAGCTGTTCCAAGTTCAATATTACTGCCTGAATAATGATGTACACCAGTCTTGGCAAGCATAGCATAGTATTCAATTTCACTTTTCCTAGATTAAGAGAAGGTTATTTATTGCATTTGGTCTTATTTACATGCAAAATATATTAATATTCAATACAAATATTAGGAATGAAAATGCATCATAAATTAAATGAACGAAAGATCAGAAGGCCCAATTCCACCGCTGCAAAAGTATTCAACTAGCTCAGTTTTTAATTGTGTAAGATTTCTACTATATTATTAGGCTCTCCGTTTTCAGTGGAAGCCCATACCTGCCACTTTCCACAGTAACTATTCCAACATATTACTGTTTTGTTGACCATATCCGACTCTTCTTACCTTGTTCAACAGATGGAAACTCTTTTGACTACCTATAAATGATACGGAATGAAGTGACAAATATGATTCAATAGATCTCAATATCCTTTTCGAATGGATATTTTCTTGTTATACTCTTTCGCACTGCTAATGCTTATCTGCAGTTACATCAAACAAAAATGCAGATGTTATGATGTCACACTTATCCATAACTGATGCTAAACGAGTTGCTTTTCATGGTCAACAAGATAGTAAGTACGTAAGTACAGAAACATTTTATCAAGAATGTATGCACTGCACATAAGACTAACCTAAAGTGAAGCGATTCACTGTAAATCAACTGTATCATGACACAAAGAGGCTGTTTCTAGTTTTAAAGTTAGTAACACATTACTGATTTGGTCTATGGAAACATATAGGTGGACAACATAATCTGCCATTGTTACTGGTTGGTAATTCCATGAAGGTATAACACACCTAAAAATGAAATATAAAACACCGAAAAATGTTTATATGCATTCTAACACTTTTTTTGGACATATTTAGCCAACATTTTATTCCAAATGTTAACCTCTATTTGAACATCTACGTGACAAAAGAGAATACTGATACAGTACAAAGTCTGCAACCTGGACTCATCGGGACTTCGGTGATTTTCAATTATAGATCATCAATTTAAATCTGGTAAGATGGCATGCAGAAATTATACAATTAAATATATGAAACCATAATTTATGAAATAAAGAGCAATTTTGATCTAAAGGGGTACCAAAATTTACAAAAAAAAAAAAAAAAAAAAAAAAAAAAAAAAAAAAAAAGCTTAATATTTATTTGTTTATTTTATTAAACATTTCTTTCCATGTAAGTCGTTCGATTATAGATCACTGCAGATTACAGACTTTGTACTGTAATAGGTATTTACAGCCAAATGATGAAATTGTTCTTCATCCAACATATATTATCAGAAAAATTGAAAGACAAGAACATATATAGAAAACAAATTATGCATCTTCCCTTTTTAAAGAATAATTTAATGCTTCAATACAAGTCGCATTTAAGTACTTCATATACTCTAAACAGCTATATTGGCATATTATATCCAGAAAAAAAATTGTATTGCATGTAAACTATTTCCACAACTTTAAGGAATGCAAATTTATACATGTATTGTTAAAACTACTGCAGTAACGGTTTTCCAGTAACCTTGTACCTTTACAAATGCCGTAACGCGCAACGACAATTACAACTACTTTGAAAATGCGCGCGGTTGTAATTAACATCATTTTTAAATAATATTAATTAAATAATTCAACATTTTATAATTACATAAAAAATAATTAAAAAAAATTTAATATTCTTAGTCAATATTTAAATAATTTAAAGCAATTTCTTTTAACTTCCATCAAGCATTTCACTAATAAAAAAGTATTGCTTCACTATACACTTTGTTATCAATAGTAAAAAAAAAGTAGAAATTAATCTGTATAATTTATTTCTGGATTAAATGAAATTTAAAAACAAAAAAATAAAATTAAATCATATTTAAAATTAACAATATTAAAAAGGAAAATACCAAGAATGACAACATAAGTAAAAACAAAATGCAACTCATAAGCATGAAGCATATTTAAAGAGCATTGTTGCAACTAAGTCTGATTTTTAAATGTTTTTATAACACAGTTCTGATCCATATTTTTTCAATCAAGAGTTTTAAGACCTAAATGGTGGATTCCATCGAAAAGACATCGCAGCTGCATTGGTAACAAATAAGACAGGCTTTGGCACTTTGCATGCACCCATCATATTTTTTATTTGGCACCCCGCATACAGAAGGCAAAACTTTCTTTCAAATATCTACCTTGATACATTTAAATTCTTACTTGATTAAAATATTTTCAAAACAATGAGGAAATCATAAGTAAAAGAACAAAAAATTTAATTCAACAAAAATAATTTCATAATTCAGCATGTTTAAGAAATGTGATCACAAGTGAGAAATTACTCAGTTCAATTATATATATCAATATGAAATGCAGTTACAAAAAAAGCTCACACAGAATTGAAAAATGATTTCACTTCACTTTCATTCAACTTGGCATTTTTTAAATATAGTCTTGTTTCCGCCCCCCACCAATCACTAAATTTTCATTTTCTTTTTGTTTACTATACTTCTGAAATGGAATAGACGTTAGAGTAACATCTTCATTTTCTTTAGAAATTACTGATGGTTTTAACGAATCTAACAAATAAATTCATTAAAAGTTCAAAAAGTTCTCTTCTCAATTTATATATATAAGGAGCTTGTTGTTGCAAATTAATATTTACTGTTATAAACAAAGGCAAAGTTTTTTCAAAAATAACAAGTACAATTTGGTGGTCGGTGAATGTAAAATTTTTTTTAATGTTTTGCAATCTCTTTCCTTCATTCTCACTGTTATCTGGTTTATCTCCAAAAAAAATTTATCACAGCATCCCACTGTTCCAAAATCCTTGTTATAGATTCTAAAAGAGACAACCATCTCGTACTGCAATATTTCAAAATTTTATGAGATTTTGCATTCTGTCACAAAATTTGTTGAGCAACTTTGAAGCTATGCTTCCGTTTCGAAACTTTTCTCCAAGTAAAAAATATATATCTATTATCAACATTTCAATTTCTGAGCCAATTAATTTTTCAGTAGCTTTTTTTGCAGCTATATGCAAGAGGTGGCACGGACAAACCTCGGGTGATTATACTTGGTTGATGCATTTTGATAAATGATGCTACACCTTTTAAACTTTCCAATCATATTACTAGCATTATCTGAAGAAAATGATAAGCAATTTTTCCATTCTAAACCTTTTGTTTTTAAAGTTTTCATTTATACAATTAAAAATACCTTCTCCTATATTATTCGTGCATTCTAAAATAGAAATCAATGAAGTAATTATCACTCCCTTTTCTTTACTGTAGTATGTTATAACCAATGGGTACAGTTTTGTTATCATTGTTATCATTACTTCCATCAGTACTTAGAGAAAATGATGTACTGCACACTGATTTTATAATATCAGCAACAGTATTTTCTGCAAGCGTTTTCACAATAGCAGCAGTTTTGGTATGACCGCAGCTAAATTTTTTTGCTATGGCAGAATCCGGAAACATTGCTTTGAAAAGCTCTTTGGAATGATCCAAAACAGAAAGCGGTAGATTATGTTCAATTAAAAAACGAACAAAATAGCATTCGGCTTTTATAGGATCTGTTTCATCATCTTTTATTAAGAAATGTGTTATTTCTTTAGATTTTACGGTGCCAAGTTCTATATGCTTTTGAGAAAACATGCCGTTTACAGTCATCTTTTCCGCCATGAGCAACTGAGAAGTCTTTGTTGCATACATTGCAGTGTGTGCGTGATTCACAGAAATTTCGGACGCTTTTAATGCATGGAAATTCTGAAGAATATGAATCTTTAAACTTCTGCTTTGATAATTTTGGCTTCTTCGTTCGAGGCAGCATTATGATTAAAAATCTTTCACCTGATTCACAGTTCACAAGACACACGCTAAGCTCTCGCCGTAAACTACACAATGCAGCCGAATGCAGCCTAAACACGCATCAGCGAGGAACCTGGGAGACAGACAATTGGGTGGAACTATTGATAAGTCGTTAACGGTTGAAGTTACTGATCTACGATTGGCTAATTCTTCAAAACTAGGAACGCACTCAACATGTGATATATGATAACACGAGTATTCAGCCAATCATCGGATGAATTAGTTGGTTCCGTTTTGCGTACAGGTTCTCCTGCTCGTTTCTGTAAAATCCGTAGTTTTTTCCATACTTTTCGTAGCTCGTAGTTTTTCATGAATTTCCGTAAACTACGGAAAATCCGTAGTAGTTGGAGTCTATGCAATCCTAAAAAATTTATTTATAAAAATGCATAAGTGAATGATTGTTGAGCAGGCAGGAGACAGACTGATCAAGGGGAAGTTGCCTCTAAACCTAACTCTTCCATCATTCAATTCGTGTTTCATCATCCATGTAGACAAGGGTAAAAGTCAAAAACCAAAAGTGATACCAAATGTGGTGAATTACTAAAAAGAAATTTAAACAAGTGGAATTTTGAGAAATTAGCAATTAAAAGACCAGAATTAAAATTTTAAAAAAATAAATAAATGTAGAAAACCAAAGTAATTTAGAAACTCTTGCCTATAGAAACTTTCCCAACACGAATTATGCACATAAATCAAAAAGAAACTAGACATTATCTATAAAAACTAATAAATTATACTTAAATAATACTAAAACGGCAAGTAAATAGTAAGTTTTCATTTAACTTAAAAACTATATTTGTTTTTGGAGAGTGGAGAAGCATTGCCAAACTAAGTGATGTTAAGTAGTGTGTTCTGCAAACTTTAAATAGAGAGCGCTAACTTTCTTTATACTTTTGAAGTAAATACAGTCAAAAGTCATTAATTCGGACACCCATAATCCGGACCTCAAAGCTAAAAACTTTCTGCGCATGCGCCGCGTTGACACATGCGCATAGGCATTTATGCGTGCGCGTAAGACCTCTTACGTCTGCGCATATGCATGTGCGCAAGCGCAGAATACGTTTTCGCGTGCGCGTTTTATGTATAACGGGCGGTATAAGCTAAAATTATCTAATTATCTATTTCAGTTAATGTTGATGATTGCGTTGTTCCTTAATTTTCGAATTGGATCCAACTTATTATTTTTTGCAGACTGTAAGAGCAATACTATAAAAGTAAACTTGACCTTTCGACTATGTCAAATAGAATTTCCGATTCTGGAGCTCCCAAAGGATCGTACAAAACGAAAGTATGTTTCGATGTCCATCAAACAAAAAGTGGAATTGCTGCAAAAAATGGATAAAGACATGAAGAATGTGACAGAGAGGTTAGTGAAAACGAAAAAATTTCGATTTGCAAGTTAGTCGGTATTCTCGGCACAGCAATTACGGGACTTGAACAGCGGAACTTTGTAACTGAACAAGAAATTATGTCTGTTTTCAAACCAGGTACTCTTTCTGATCGAACACTTCACATAGTGACCATCTGAACCTTTCTTCCTACAAACCCATTCAAATCCATCTAAACGGTTTTAACACATACCACAAAAATGCTTACAAAACATCCAATGATTCAAAATTTCCCAGAATCATGCACCCGATTACGTCACAATAGGATTTCCATAACATTCAACTACTCAGGCTACTATAAATGAAACAACAACTTGGCGATAAATCAAACAACTTCGCCATAATACAAGGAGTACCTTAAAGTCTACTCTACCCCTTTTTGCATTATTTAGCATCACAAATTTTAACTCTCTTGACTCATAAGAGCCGGATATCCGAATCTTAAGTGGCCAGACCATTTATATATTCACACATCTTATTTTTAAGCTTACACACATGCATTTTCAACTATGTCTAGACAAAGCAGTACACAGAAATAAAAACTGGGAGGGTCATTTTAGGAATATATATATATATACACACACACACACACCGTATATTATGGTGTACAATGCACACATTTAATACACCAAATGAGATAAAAATGTACGAGTGAGCATTATATGGCAAATATAAAAATGAGAAGATTTAAAAATAAGTAAAAGATAAGAACCCCACAATTTTATTTCTACATGTACCTAAATGCTGTTAATGGTGATTTTCTAGGACCCAATTCGTAACACTCTCTTTTAGAATGTGCCATTTTGTTACTCCTTTCCGCAAAGCACATTCATTCTCTGGCATATTTATTATCATGATATCATTTTTCTTCCACTCATGTTACAGCTTTCAACAATTCCAAACATCCTTGCTGCAGCACAGTTTTAATTTTCTTTTGCAAACCGAATGAATGACTTTGCATTTGAAACCAGCACTATATTTTGTTTGGCAGGAGCCATATTTACCACTAAAAGGAACACTAGGTAACAATATTTAACATAAAGCAATTACGATTTACTAAAGCCTTTGATTCTCACTTCAAAAGACTAGAGAACGACAAACCATCCAACTCCTAATTCCACAAATTCATTCAGATAGGAAGTACATTCATATCCTAAATTACTTGCTCCCTTTTCTCGAAACTCTAGAATAACATTCTTGTGAATAGCTGCATTGAATACAACTTGACCTCTTTGCAGTTATTAACTTCATCAAGCATTTCTCCCAAACACATTGTTCCCCTTATCACTTGTCAACTCAATACAGCATCGTTCGAAAGCCTCCGAACTAATTACTTCAAAAGGATAACAACACTACACATGTATCTTTCAGGTTTCTCCGTAACCAAAAGGGTGTGCACTTTACGGCTATTATACTTATAAATTAAAAAATGTAGTTTGAAATTACAGGTGTGCATTTATACGGTGGAATATATGGTACGTAATAATTTTGGTAAAAGACGAAAGCAATTAACTTTTTAGTCATAGCCGATGATGGTGTAGAGAAATGTAGCTAGCACATAATTAAGATGGGTAATAAGTGGATGGGAATCGAAATTAGCTGGAAACTTTAGAGAGATGAGACAACTTGTTAAATAAGGCACAAATTATTTTACAGTCATAGCTAGGATGGTGTGGCGTTATAATATATAACAGCATAGTTGCAATCAAATGTAGTCATCATGACAAATAAACATATCTTATTTCTGAACAAGAATAATTCTTTAGAAATACATGCCGAGTCAAGATTATGAGAACAATCTTAATTTTGTTTTGTTTCCTATTCCAGGTCATTAGTCCCATGGCTGCCAGCCTCACATTGGAGCAGATAAGAGTGGTTGCAAGCTTAATGGAAGTGTGCAGTCGGTCACAGAAGTACGAAGGTTTGCAGAACGATTTCCATATAGAAAGCCACAAACTTGTTTAATAATTCATGCAACCACAAGTTTGTAACAAATGGATCAGTAACAGGTGCCCTGCATTTCCTTGGATTCCTTGGATCATTACCAAGGAAGTTCTAGGTTGCCCTGCATTTCCTTGGATCATTACCAAGGAAATGCAGGGCAACCTAGAACTGAAGTAAACATTGCATAGCCATACTATGGAATCCATCAAAATCGAATAGACATTACATTCTGAAAACGGGCATTCCTCAGAGGGCAGTAATCCAAATTCTATCCAAGGACCTTCAACTAATGTCAACATTACACAAATACCAAATTTTGCTGAAAATCGACAATTTCAAATAAAAATATAGTTAACTGCTGTCATAATTCTTATGAATTTATTAAAATTATTTACTAAAAATTAAAGAGATTAATAATACTTATCTTTGTTGAAATTTCAACATAAGCAAAAATCTTTTTAACGTTACTTACCTTAAAGGTGGTGTGTTATTGGCTATGATAACTAATTTAGCCTTCCCTTGTCTCAGAGCTTTGAGAGTTTGTTTATTACCCAAAACATACTTTCCCGATTTCATGACAAGAGCCAATCTGGAATTGATGCTCTCCATGGCCTTTTTCTAGAATTTATTGAGAGAGAGAGAAAGGAATCAGACTGTGCTAAATATTCCTGATAAACACAGAAATAAAATTGTTTCTAATATTTACTTCATATTTTAAACTAGACATAAATTTTAAATACGCTTAATAATGACACTGAGGTATATATATATTACAAGAAAACATTCTTAAAGCATTCAGAATTAAAAGGGAAGCAGGACACTTCTCAGCAGCATTATCATTTCTTCACAAACTTCATTAATTACAAAATCTCATCCTTTGCCTGCATCTGAAAACCTTCAGATTCATAGCTACCATCATCACGATGAACTATGGTAGCTGGCCATACATCAATTATGCAAGCATTATGCAAGCATTTAAAAAAACATATCTACACACATGTCCTTGCATTCTTCTACACATCAGATTTTATATTAATATATTTAAAATTCTTGAATGTTTTAGCCAGTCTTTAGAAAATATAGGCCAAATTTAAAAAAGGCTACTTCATATATGTATTTCAGTCCATGCAGCACTGCGATATCCATTGGTTAAATGATGGATGCACAATTGAAGGAAAGAATAAGACAGACATTTATATTCTACTAAAATTTGAGTGAAATATGAGCCAAACTGTTTTTCATAATCCTGAAAATTTCTGTATCACCTAGTAAATCAAATTATTTCAAATGCTACCTAGGCTTGGTTATAATAAGATTTTCAAATCATTCATTAACTAATGTTTGTGTCATCCATGCCCTTTTTACTTGATGATGGGAAAAATCCTTACTCCTTTAACTCTTTCACATTCAATCTGCCCCACACTGAAACAACCAGAACCGCCCGAGATTGTAATCTTGTGTTCTTCCCTCCCTCCAAGGTATGCAGTAGCAGGTGCAGTTTTCCCAAATGGGGGATACTCAGATAACTGGCACTTGGCGAACTTCCTGAAATCGCCCGCTATAAAGTGGGATGATAGTTTAGATCTTCACTACGCTAGGGAGAAAGGAAGAAGCGAAGGGATATTTTCTTTCTATATGTAAATACTTTGCTTTGGCTGTCATGTGACTTTGCAGATGAATCATCGTGCTAATCACGCAACTTTGTCAGTAGACGTGGCGCGTACGCTCATATGCTGTTCGTTATTCCGTATGATCATTCGCTATTTAATTATTTTATTAGAACAAAATATTATTATTTATTAGACTATTAAAATCGATTACACGTCTAAATACTATTAAAATCATAATTATTTAATTACCGGAGACGGGCTTCAAGTTACCATAAACCATACGCTATTTTCGCTATACTAAAAACATTTCAGAAAATAAAATTACTATTAAAATTATTAATGACTTAAAAATTAAATAACTAAGTATTACGAAATTAATTCATAATTATTTAAATAATATTAATACTGCGCTTCTAGTTGCCGTTTAATTACCTTGTAAATTATTTTTTAAATAACTTAATGAACTTATAAATTAATTACCCTTATAATTAGTACAATAAAGTAGATAACATATGGTCTTTTTCTAACTAATCTTTCGCATGGGCACATTTTTAAAATTTACTTAATATTTAAGTATATGGGTGTTATTTATCTAGCCTTAACAAACAGGAATTAATTTCTAAAATAAATTAATTGAACTCCTAACACGAATTATTTAGAATGAGAAAAGCACTCGTGGGTTATTTGCTTAAGAAGGCGGAAATCCGTTAGTCGAACTCCAAGACGAACTACCAGTGTGCAACATTTTTACTGCTATCTTGCTGACACTGTATCATACAATCAATTTTTTAATCCCTCCTAATCAAGTTTATATTGAAATAAAATGCTTATAAGACTTTGAAATGCTAATAAGTTAATGTAAAGTATTAAAGAAACAATATTCTGCTACTTTTTTAAGTCAAGTATATTTCACCGATTTCTTTAAACTATTATACAAAACTTGAGCAAAATTCTTTCACAGATAAACAAATAAAAGTTAATTAAATTTATATCATCAAATCTTTGAATAATCTTCATAGATTTTTTTGCTGTGTTGCTACTCATGTTAGTTTTTAATGGCAATGAATATAAATGTTGAAATTTTTGCATCACCATGTTTGCAACAAATACATAACCGAAATACGAGGGCCATCCAGGAAGTAGATTACGTTTCCGTCTGTGTCCGCTAGGGGCGGGGCTAGCGCGGCCATCTTGGGGTCAGAGCGTTGCGCAGCTCAGTCTGCATCTAGCTGTGCTAGTGAGAGGTTCGTGCTGTGCTCCGTTCAGATACTGTGACGGTTTGAAATGTCTGCGTTAATTGAAAATCCCGCGAGCTGCGAGGTGCGCTCAGTAATAAGGTTTCTGACTGCAAAAAACTGTAAACCGATAGAAATCTATCGGCAGCTTCGTGAAGTGTATGGGGACAACATTATCACTGAAGGTGGAGTGCGTCAGTGGGTCATAAGATTTCAAAATGGCCGAACCAATGTTCACGACGAAGATCGAAGTGGGAGACCCAGCATAGTGACCGCCGAACTTCTCGAAAAAGTCGATGCTAAAGTCCGTGAAAATCGAAATTTCACAATAACGGAACTTTCTTTGAGTTTTTCCACAAATTTTCGCGAAGTTTGTTGCACAAAAATCATCAGCGAAAAGCTTGGTTACCACAATTTTTGTGCAAGATGGATTCCAAAAATCTTGACAGAGGACCACAAAATCAGCGAATGGCTGCAGCGTTGAACTTTTTTGGACGCTTACCATAAGGATGGTGACTCTTTACTCGATCGCATCGTTACTGGTGACGAAACATGGTGAAACATGTGAACTGTGAAACGAAATTGCAATCAATGCAGTGGGGGCACACAAGTTCTCCCCAAAAACCCAAGAAATGCATGCAAACAATGTCGGCAAGGAAGATGATGGCGACTGTTTTTTGGGACAGAAAAGGTGTAATTTTGGTGGACTTCCTGGAAAGAGGCACTACAATAAACTCTCAAAGGTATTGCCAAACTCTCCAAAAACTCAGAAGAGCAATTCAAAACAAGCGCAGAGGAATGTTGAGCTCTAAGATCTTGTTGATTCACGACAACGCCCGGCCCCACACGGCAAATGTCACTCGTAAAGTTCTTGAATCTTTTAAGTGGGAGTTGTTTCCTCATCCGCCGCACAGTCCCGACCTGGCACCGAGCGACTTCCACCTATTCCCAGCAATGAAGAAGTGGCTGGCTATGCAGCGTTTTGATGACGACGCACAGCTGCAAGAAGAGGTAACGAAGTGGTTGAAGGCCAGGCGGCCGAATTTTTTCGACGAAGGAATTTCCAAGCTCGTACATCGCTACGATAAATGCCTTAATTTGTTTGGTGACTATGTAGAAAAGTAGTATTTTGAGCCATGCTTTCATGATGTATATAATATAATTTGTTTCCTATACTTTGTTTATTTTTTTATTCCAAAACGTAATCTACTTTCTGGATAGCCCTCGTATATTGTTAGAAATCTTGTTTCCCTGCAGTTATGCAATTCAGGATTACATTTCTTTGTTTACCTACTTTACTACTACAAAAACTATTTTCGTATTTTAAGACAAAGAGGGAAAAATTCTGCTTCTGTGCTAATAAATTCAAAAGAAGCTGGTTTTTGAAAACCTGTAAAAAAAAAAAAAAACGGGATTTTTTTTTTTAAGAGACAGATGTCTTATTTTGTTTTTCTAAGTCAAGGTTATTTCAATGAACAGTTGCCCACCAGCAGCCGAGCGGTAAAATCGCTGAACACTGGTAGTTCGGACCGAGGTTCGAATCCCGCGAACGGGCTGGCTGCATGGGCGTTTTTGTGGTTTTCCCCATGTGTAACGTGTATACGAGCCAGATTTCCTTAGAAAGTCCTCCATGAAGGCATCCCCCCCTAGGCAGATAGCCCTAGTGTGCTTTGCCGTATTCCCAATACACCATCTTCAATGAACGGTTACGGTTAAGTTGCACTGTACTATTTGTTTTGTGGAACCCAATTTATTGCCGATTTAATTATGAAATTCAAATACCTACCTTTTCATTCAGTTGATTTATAAACAACATTAAAGATAAACATATTAAAAAAAGGAACACTTTTATTGCACAGTCATCTATCAAATTTAGTTTTTGCAAAAACTTTTTACTTATTAATGCAAATTTTGTTAACAAATAAAAATATATAATACATTTATATACATTTTAGTGTTTATGTTAGTAATTTTGATGAAAAAAATTTTTCTACGAAATATCAATTATTAACTGGACGTAGGCGCAAAACCCCATGAACTTTGACCTCTGAACTCTGAACCTACATTATTTTGGTTCGGTGCTCTGTGTGTAACACTTCAAAAGGAATCAGCCGCAAAACCAAGCATTTTTTCATTTAAATTTTTATCTATTTCAATCTATTGATATTTGCATATTTGAATTACTATTTTTTATTTATATTAAAATTTTTATTTTAACTTAGGAATATTTGTAATTTCTTCAATTTAAAGTTATTAATATTTATTTCTGCATTTTTCTTCTGTCTACTACTAAACCTTTATTCCTGTACGTTACCAGTGTTTTAGTTTTATATATTTTTAGCTTAAATGCAACATAATTTTTAATTTAAAAATAATACATTTAATATTTAACTGATTTATCTAATTTATTTTATGTGTAATATAATGTGAATGGATAATTTTACATAAATTATTTATTTTATATGTTGACATAAGGTTATTTTAATACAAAGCGCAAAAATAAATCTATAACGATTGGTTTAGTTCATCAACATAAAATGTAATGTGTGAAATGAAAGTATAATTTTTTTTTAAATAGTAAATTTATGTATATTTGATCTTTAAAATTTTTTAACGTTACTTCCGTGATAAATATTCCATTTGCATGATCTTTACTGCATTTATATGAAGACCATATTTTTAAACATATTTAACTATTATTGTGGATAATTGTAGAAATTAATGGTCAGAATTAAAAAGAGAAGTATAAACGGTAATAATGAATGTTGGAGTT